ATGGAAGAATTAACAGCACCGGAAGTTCCAGAGGATGTTTCGTAAGAAGAATTGGTAACGAAAATTGGAAACAATGGAAAATCTCAGGGTATGAGTTTGGAAAAATTTACCGAGGTACTGAAGAATCTATACAGGCGTTCGCGCATCGAGTGATTCGAGCAGCTCAAGACTGCAAGTTCTTGCCCTCAGAGAGAGACGGCGAAAGAAACTCGATGTTACAACTGTGAATCCTTAAATCACTTTGAACGTGAATGTACCTCTTTATGCAAAAAATTCTTGCATAAACATGCTGCAAAAGACTGCTACAAACGTCAAAGAAACCAGGAAAACTTAAATGGGACGAGTTCGCATTAGGTATCTTTACAAGAACTCGTCCCGAAACAAGACTACCTACTATTGACTTGGTAATAAACGGAAGAAAAGCTACAGCGCTTGTGGATACTGGTTGTCATCACCAAGAAGTTACTGCCGCCTGACTATAAAGTGATTTGTGTAGTAAATGTTGCAACAATGGGCGGAATAATTCGATGCGAAGAAGTTAGTGCTAAAATATGCCACCCAACGAACGGGTGCTTGGTGGATGTGGTGGTTCTGAGTGTGAATGAAGTAATAAACAAATACGACATGATTATGGGTATGGACTTAATAAAGACGTGTGATGGACTACAAATTGGCACCGGAAAACTGAAATTGTGTAATTCTTTGATTGAGTTGTCATCGAAACTTCGTGTTGCGAAAATTGAAATTGGAACAAGCAAAGCTTATTTTGATGGCAAAAAATGGATTGTAAGTTGGGAGTGGGAAAACGAACCTAAAATGAAAAATAGAACAAGTCAGTATAATGTAGCTGACCCACATTGTGAGGCGTTTAACAACGAAATAAATGAATGAATCAAAGAAGGTATACTCATCAAATATGATGATAAAATTATGGGAAAACCTAAAGGTCTACTACCGTTAATGTGTGTCATTCAAGATAATAAAAAGAAGATAAGACTTGTACTTGATTATCATGAGCTTAACACGTATGTAAAAGCCTCTACAAGGGATGCTGATGTCATCAATGATGCAATGAGGGAGTGGAGACTCATGAGTAAAAACAGCAATGACTCGGTAGTGGATCTAAGAAGAGCATATTTACAAATTCATGTGCATAAAAGGCATTGGCCTTACCAGACGGTCATCTATAAAAATCAGCGATATGCACTTACAGGTTTGAGCTTTGGTTTAAGTTTGGCACCAGTGATGATGAGCTCAATATTGCGGTATGTTCTCCAACAAGATTCTGCACTGGCAAAAACAACAAGAGGATACATTGATGACACCCTAGCAACCAATGGAAATGGAAGAAAGCTGGTGATACATATGAAGAAATGGGGTCTCATGCAAAAGCGCCTGAATATTCTGGCGAAAACCCAGTTCGTGCACTAGGATTAGAAGTCACAGTAAATCTATTAACAAAGGAGATGTTTTGGAAGAGAGGATGCGAGCTTCCTATTATTAAATCTGTGCTCACAAAGAGGGATATATTCTCATTATGTGGTAATCTGATTGCTAATCTACCAGTTGCTGGATGGTTGAGACCGGCATGCAGCTATATAAAAAGATGTACAAACGAAGCAGGTTGGGATGAACCTATTACGAATAAGTATGTTATCGAAATGATGCAGGAAGTTGTAGATAAAGTTGTAAAGTGCGATCCGGCAAAAGGTGTATGGAATGTTAAACCAAATGCATCTCTGACTGTATGGTGCGATGCAAGTTCACTGGCAAAAGGAGTTGTGATAACGCAAGGTGACAGAAAGATAGAAGATGCGACATGGCTCCGACCAAAGTCTGCATATGCATATCAATGTGGCCTAATTAGATGCATGTATTGAAGGTCTAAATATGGCATTAAAATGGAATCCAAGTGATGTCTCCATTAAAACTGATTCTCATAGTGTATTTAGTTGGTTAAATTCTGAATTGACTCGTGACAAACCTGTGAAATGTGCTGGGCAATGCGAAATGTTAATTTGACGAAGACTTCAAATATTTAAAAAATTGGTTGAGGATTATGTCATAAATGTAACAGTTACATGGGTACCAACAACTAAAAATATTGCAGATGAACTCACAAGAGTGCCAACAAAATGGATAAAAAACAAAGTTGCAACACAAGAATGTAATACCATTTATAAGTACGATAAACAGCAGATTCGAAAAATTCATTTACTAGCACACATGGGAGTTTCCAAGAGTATGGAGTTATGTATGCCCGCCGGTATCCACGTTACCAGAGACACAGTGAAACAGGTTGTCGCTGAATGCAATGAATGTAACTCGATTGACCCTAATGTGATGTTGTGGGATAAAGGAAATCTTGCTGTTAGCAAAGTATGGGAAAGAGCAGCCTGCGATGTTACTCATGTTGATTCATCGCTATATCTCACTTGTATTGATTGCGGCCCAATCAGATATACGTTATGGACACCATTAAGCGACGAAAGTGCAACTATGGTTGTTCAAGCGTTAGAAACAATAAGGTCAACACTTGGACCTTCTTCTGAAGTTCTTCTAGATAACTCTAAGTCATTTAGATCTCAGCTTATGCAAACTATGGCTGCGAATTGGGAAATAAGGCTCATCTATTGAGCTGTTGAAAAACCATCGGGAAATGGAATAGTTGAAAAAGGTCATCGGACGGTAAAAAGAACAAATGCAAAAGTAAAATGTGGTATTCCCATGTCTGTATTTTTAATCAATAATGTTCCATCAAAACAGGGCACACCTTTTGAAATATTTTGCCAACATCACAAACGAGTTTGAATTCCTGGAATCGATAAAATCGAATCAACACAAAAGTCGGTGACAGAGTGTCATGAATGGAAAGTTGACGACAAAGTGTGGGTGAAACCCAAGCACATAACGCCGTGTACGCAACGATGGCTGAAAGGAAGTATAGTGGCATTGCATAATGGTTTAACAGCTGAAGTTGATGTCAACAGACATACATTACCACGACATTTTTCTCATCTGCAACATCGTCGTGTAGACACAAAAGAAGAAGATACAACAGATGATTATGATTCAACACTATTTAAACTTCCCGAAACGAGCTCAAAACACATTGTTAATGATGATCCAAATCTTCAAATAATTCCTCCGGATAATGGTAAAAATGACAATTGTACAAAACGGAAGTACATGACCGAAGTACAACGATTATGTATGAGCTCTTGTTGAGCTAAAGGGGATGTTGTGTGTCATTAATAATTAGCGTGCTAATTATTGACAAAAGTCACAAGTTGTGATTTTCTATTATTATAACGTTTTTTATTAATTGTCGACAAGAGTCACAAGTTGTATTATATGCTATATAAAGCGAACAATTTTTTTTTTGTAAATGTCAACTTTGTATATAAGTAAAAGAAAACGTTAACAAAAAAAAAGGCTTTTAAATGTGTCGAACAACACTACCATTGTAACATTTTTAGAGCACAAGAAAAAATCATCATTGATCTTAATAAGGATTTTGATAATATAGCAAAAAGTGGAGAAGCAAAATGTATATTTTTTGATGGATTTTTTGGATTTGGTTTTGATGGAAATGAAAGAATTGATCAAACTAAACAAATGATTAAACTTAATGGCTTAAATGCAAAATTTTAGTAACTGGGGAAAAAAACATTAATTTGTTTTTAATGAACCTGGAGGAAAATATTTATTTCAGTTTACTCCTAAAAAAGCAATACCAGAGTTAATCATGCAGAGACCAATTAATACTGTCAATTGGTTGATTAAGAGATTGACTAATCTTTAATGGCTGCTGGTGGTCTACAAATGTAAACACTGTTTGGGAGAGTTTATTGTAGCAGTTTATTTTCCATGATGGTTTAAGATCAAAGTTAAACATTCTTAGATGGAATGTCCTAAACATATACTTTATCAACTGCAACAACTCTAATTTCAGAAAGATGTTGTAAAAATAATATCACTAACAATAAATTTTGTTCTAATACTGAAGATGATAGAAGTGTAGCTATTATTAAAACAAAATATATTGGATGTCTCCCAGACCTAGAAAGACTCCTTTTCCAAACTTTAGTGTTGCAAAATCGGTAGTCTTGATATCATGGGAGTCACCAATTTATGAACTAGACCTAACTAGCACTTTGTCAACTTTTGAAATTAAGATACTTTTTTAAAATCCTATGCAGGTGTCAAGTTAGCCATGTCATGGACAATCTGCTGAACGTTAAGTAAAGTAAGTTACAGAAATCTTAAGTAGAGTGTACACTCATACTCAAAAAGAGAGAAGAATACTTCAAAACTCAAGAGGCGAGTAGAGAGTTTATGTTCAAAAATAACAAGACAAGAAACAATTTGATATTTAAAAAATATACATTTCACTGTTTTTCTAACATTAATACCAATAGAATTATTATGTAATATCAAACCAAACTATATTTAAAAACTGCTGAAAAATACTTACACATTTTTAAACTAATATCAATATAATTTTAGCTTTAAATTAACATGTATATGCAAATTAAATCAAAGTCTAATTTTAGACGAATCTTCCTTTTGAATTTTATACAAATTCTTAAGGAAAATATATTAGAATCAAAACTAGTTTTAACCAACATTTATATCCTAACTGTATATACTTATTGAATAAAGTAAAAAAAAGAAGACTCAATAATAATTAAATAAAAACCAGGTTTTATTGAGAAACCAGGCCAAACTTTTAGTGACATAAAAAGACATCTAAACAAAAGATTTTTCAATTCCAATTTTAAAACCATCATTAAATTCTCCATAAAAATCTGCAACTTTTAGCAACACCCCATTTTTTTTTTTTTAAAAAAAAGTACTTAAACCATATACTTTTTATATACTTAATGTATATAAAAAGTATATAAAGTACAAATAATCATAAATTTGCATTAAATGATTATTAAGAACAGATTCATTGGAAATTGGAAATTACTTATATATATTAAATTAAAACCTACAGGGTACAAGGATCCTGTTCATGGCTTAGCTCTGCTAAAAAGACATTTGCAAAATGAATTAGCATAGCACCAATAGCTTGTTTCGATGTGTCACAAAACCTAAAAAATACAAAAGACTTTAAATTAATTTCATATTAACTTTTGTATATTTTTTTCATCTAAACTACAGTCAATTTACTTTCTTAGTGTGCCCATTTGTTGGGCACACTAAGAAAGTAAATTATTTTTACAAAACTAATTTTTTTTAGCTTCATGCTTTAGTCAATAAAGCAATACTTTAAAATGCAATAAAATATTATAGTTATAATATATATATATATATATATATATATATATATATATATATATATATATATATATATATATATATATATATATATATATATATATATATATGTATATATATATATATATATATATATTAAAATTAAAAAATTAAAAAGTGAAGAGAAAAAAAAAAAGAAAAAAAAAAAAAAAAGAAGAAGAATTAAATAAACTATAAAAGACGAAAAAACAAAGAAGAAAAAGTATTAGTAGTGCCAGAAGATTGTAATGAAACTTTAGAAGAATTAAATATGCTTTTAATTTAATGTAATTATTCTTATTTTTGAATATTCTTATTTTTTTTTCTAGCTTTTCTTGCTTGTTTTCATTAATTTTTTCTTTTTTCTTATACTGTTTATTATTATATATACTTATTATTGTTTTTATTATTGTTATTATAATAGTTATTATTGCTACTAGTATTATTACTATTATTATTTTTATATATCTATATAGTTTGTTAGCTTAGTTACTATAGTTTTACTTATTAACTTATAATACTAAGCATAAACTTAATAATTTATTATTATATTTTCCACTTATTATAACTATAATATTTTACTTATAATCATTTATAATTTATTATTATTTTAATATAAATTGTTTTATTTTTTACTTACAACTTATCAATTAACCAATTATAACTTTTTTTTTAATATATATTTACGTTATTCTTCTTTTACTATATTAATAGTATTTTTTCATTATTTATTTTAACTGTTAACTAAATATTATTTTTGTTTTACTATTTTATCAATTGAATTATATTTATATTGTTAATAAATACTATTATTATTTTTATTATTTTTGGTTATATTGCTGTTCATATTACTCTTTGTTTCCTTATTTCAGTTCATTCAATCATTTTATTATATAAACTGTACCACTTAAATGTCTACTCACTGCAAAGATTGCTTCAAGAAAATTAATAAAAACCATCACTACCTTCAATATTATCATTGCCTAAACCTTTTTCATAAAAAATGTTGTTGTCTGAATGATATTGAATTTAGAATATTGAAAAACTCTAAAACATCTTGGTTCTGTATTTCATGTAGGGAAAAAAACTTTCCATTCAGTACTTTATCAGATAAGGAGCTGCACCTGCAAACAATAAATGATAAAGTGATTCATATTAATGAATTCGAAAACAACATATCATCATTCCCAAACACCATACAGTCTAATCTTTATAATGAACTTAATGATTTTATTTCCCATCAACTTAATAACAACAATGACAATGACGTAAACCTCGAAGAATACCCTATTAATTGTAAATATATGGACATAGAAAGTTTAAACTCTTCTAACATCGACAAAAATAATTTTTCTCTTTTTCATTTAAATATTGCTTCTCTTGTTAAAAATTTTGATGAATTAAACTCACTTTTATCTCTTATTAATCATAAATTCAGTATTATTGGCATAACTGAAACTAAACTAAAACATGACATTCTACCAACTATCCCATTAAATCTTACCGGTTATGTTTATGAGCAATCCGACAAAATCTTATTTTGGAGGAGCTTTACTTTATATATCCAATACATTAATTTACAAACTTCGATATGATCTTAATATGCTTAAACCAAAGCTTTTAGAATCTGTGTTTGTGGAAATCATAATTCTTAAAAAATCAAACATCATTATTGGCTGTATTTATCTCCATCCTAGTATGGATATTTCAGAATTTATTAAATCATATTTAATTCCAATTTTCGAAAAGCTATCTATGGAAAAAAACAAAACTACTTTTTTAATAGGCGATTTTAATGTCGATCTTTTATTAGCAAACTCAGATAATTCTGTCTCTGAATTTTTAGACACTATTGCTTTAAATAACTTTCTTCCCTTTATTTCATTGCCAACAAGAATCACAAATCACTCTAAAACTCTAGTTGATAACATATTTTCTAATGGAACTTCTACAAATATTTTTTCCGGTAGTTTTACTTCTACGGTATCAGATCATTTGCCCCAATTTTTAATATATCCTTTTTATATAACAAAAATTTATACTAGTAAAAGCTGCATTTTTCGTCGAAATTTAAAACAAATAAATTGCGTTGAGTTATGTAGTGATTTCTCAAAAATTAGGTGGATTAATGTAATCAATGTCAACGAAGGACTAATAAGTCATTTGAAGAGTTTTTCTCAAGTTTCAATTCTCTTTAGATAAATATGCACCATTGAAAAAAGTCAGCAATTGCTGCTTATCAAGGGGTCTCAAACCTTGGATAACACAAGGAATCTTGACTTCTATTAAAATGCGAAATAAAATAATTAAAATATTTTTTAAAGCAAAGAATCCTAATAACAAAAAGTCAATCTAGAAAAATCTTATAAAACATATAGAAACTTACTTGTTACTCTCACCCGTCGTAGTAAAAAGAACCATTACTCTAAGTTCTTCTCTGACAACGCCAAAAATTTGAAATCTACATGGAATGGTATTAAGAACCTTTTAAACATTAGTTCGAGAGTTAACTTATCTCCTTCATGCTTATCTTCTACCAACTCCATGATACACAACCCCATTAAAATTTCAGAAGCTTTTAATTCATTCTTTGTTTCAGTTCCGGAAGATTTACAGAATAAGATCCACTCATCCAATACTGACTTTAATAAATATCTTAAAAATCCTAATCTTAACTCAATGTTCATAAAACCTACAGACAAAAACGAAGTATTATCGATTTTTCATTCTCTTAATGCCAGCAAGGCTTCTGGACCTAACAGCATTCCAATACCTTTTTTTAAAGCTCTTGCAAATGATATCTCTCCTGTACTTTCTGAAATATTTAATCTGTCATTCACAACCGGTGTATTCCCTGATATTTTAAAAACTGCTTCTATTATCCCAATTCATAAAAAAGACTCAAAACTTGAATGTAATAACTACAGACCAATTTCATTATTATCAAATGTCAGCAAACTTTTAGAAAAACTTATGTATTCTCGAATTTACAACTTTTTAAATAACTCTGCTTGTTTTCATATTCGACAATTTGGGTTTCTCTCAAATCACTCCACTTCTCACGCTCTTATTAGCATTACTGAAATGATTCGTGGTGCAATTGACAGTGGTTCTTTTGCTTGTGGTGTATTCATAGATCTTCAAAAAGCTTTTGATACGGTTGACCACAACATTCTAATAAAAAAGTTAAACTACTACGGAATACGTGGTATTGCTAATCATTGGTTTTCTTCATATATTACGGATTGCACTCAGTTTGTTTCAATTAATGGATTTGAATCCACACATAAAGTTATTGAATATGGCGTTCCACAAGGTTTCGTTCTTGGACCGATGTTGTTCTTATTATATATAAATGATTTATCTTGTTCGTTAAAAAATTCTATGATACATCATTATGCTGACGATACCAATCTTTTATATATCAACAAATCCCTCACGACTCTTTGTAAAAAAGTTAATCAAGATCTTCATCGCTTATGTAACTGGTTAAATAATAACCGTATTTCCTTGAATGTCAATAAAACTGAATACATTATTTTTCATTCCCCTCAAAAAACTATTGATCATATTAAAATTAAAATTAACGGTAAAAAACTTTTTCCATCAAAATATATAAAGTATCTTGGAATATATCTTGATGAAAACCTATCTTGGTATAATCAACTGTATCATCTAAAAAAAAAACTTACACGAGCTAACAGTATGCTTTCTCTAATTCATTACTATGTTCCTATCCAAACTCTTCGAATGATTTATTTTTCTTTATTCTCTTTTCACCTTTGCTATTGTTGTATTGTTTGGGGTCAAAAAAGACACTTTTTACTTAATAACATTGCTAGTTTACAACGCGTATCTATTAGAATAATGACGTTTTCCCCAATGAGATCTGATATTGAAAAAAAATTTTCTGAACTAAAAATCCTAAAACTCCATAATCTTGTAAAGTTTTACAATTGTTTTTTTGTGTTTGACTTTCTCCAAAATAAACTACCAAGCTTTTTTTCAAATTTTTTTATTAAAACAAACGAAGTTCATAATCATCACACCAGGAATACAGAAAATAGTAAGCTATACTATTCTTTGCTCAGCACAATCAAATATGGTAAGTTTTCCATAAAACAACAACGTATTTCTCAATGGAACCAGTGTATTCCTGCATTAACAAAAAAGTCTAAGAAAAAATTTCCACTTGTTACAAATTTTTTACTGCTCAACAGAGTTCAATTTAAAAAAATATTGTTGGAGCGTATTTCTTTATAATTTCTCTCTGTACTATAGTTGTCTTCAATATATAATCTCTTTAACGAACAAGTGGTTTGATTTTTATTTTATTTATTATTTACCAATCTTATATTTATTTATTATTGTGTTATTAATGTTACATTTTATGTTATTATTATATCTAATTATCATCTATGATTTGTACGTACAATTTATATTGTATTATAATATTCTTAATATTATTGGTACTTTATTGTTATTGTTATTATTTTGTATTATTACTATTATTATTACATATATCATTATTATTTGTTTAACAATCTTTTCTTCTTTTCTATCTTATTTATATATACAGATATTGAGTTTTTCCTTTTTTTCCTTTTTTTTTTTTTGTTTTGTTTTGTTTGCTTTTGTTTCTTTTTTTTTTTTCTTTCTTTCTATATATTTATTTATTTTTTCGTGAAATTTTTATGTTTTTTAGGTGTCACTCCATTGACTAGTTTGTAACTATATAAGTGACACCTAACCAATTTATATTAATTTACGATGAAATTTGTAAATTTTATTGATATGGTTGAATAAAAAAAAAAGATATATATATATATATATATATATATATATATATATATATATATATATATATATATATATATATATATATATATATATATATATGTATGTGTGTGTGTGTGTGTGCGCGCGCGTGTGTGTGTGTGTGTCAGGGCCGGATTTAGCCTTTTGGGGGCCCTAGGCCAAAACATTTTTAAAGCCCCTAAAATAATTTAATTTTGGGAAAAAAAAAATTTCATTTTTTTTATTTAAAACTTTATTATTTAAACAAAACAAAATATTAGATATTTATATATGTGAATATTGAGAATTTAATGAAAAATAAATTTTACAACATTTTTGATTTTTCTACACATTATTTTTAGTTTTCAACTTTTTATGTTTATTAAATTTTGGGGCCCCTAAATGTTGGGGGCCCTAGGCCGTGGCCTAGTTGGCCTATAGGTAAATCTGCTTCTGGTGTGTGTGTGTGTGTGTGTGTGTGTGTGTGTGTGTGTGTGTGTGTGTGTGTGTATATTCATTATATATATTGTCGGCTCGGGATGCAATTGTCGTATCACAAATTTATTAAAGCTATATATAATTATGTAATTATCTAATATATGTAAATTTAACATCATATCAATGAAAAAAGTTTTTTTTAAAACATATTAAATAATTTATATTAAATAACTTTTTACATTTACATAACTTTAAATTTACATAAATTACGTTATTACATATTTATACATAATTTTAATAAATTCGCGACACGACAATTGCATCCCGAGCCAACGATATATATATATACATACATATATATATATATATATATATATATATATATATATATATATATATATATATATATATATATATATATATATATATATATATATATGTGTGTGTGTGTGTGAGTCTGTGTGTGTATATGTATTTTATTTATATATATATATATATATATATATATATATATATATATATATATATATATATATATATATATATATATATATATATATACATATATATATATATATATATATACACATATATATATTTATATATATATACATGTATACATATATATATTTATATATATACACACACACATATATATATATATATATATATATATATATATATATATATATATATATATATATATATATATATTACTTTAAATGAAATAGTAGACCTTTTTTAACAAGTTTCCTGTTTTGAAGATCAGAATTAAAAAAGTGAGTTACATATAAAAAGATAATGAAAAAAAAAATTATTAGTCTTCTTGACTGTAGTGTACCCCTCTGAACTTAATGCTGATAGTTAAATAGTTTTAAATAAAAAAATATTAAAAATATATTTAAATAATTTTAATAAATTAAAATAACTCTGTGATAAATAAAATAAAAATGTTAAATAATAGTGTTGTGATTTAAATGCGCGTCATTAATTAACTTTGCTAATTATTGACAAGTCACACAATATATTTTTTCATTATAACGTTTTGTATAATGATCATTAATTGTGGACAAGAGTCACAAGCTGTATTTTTAAATGCTATATATAGCAAACAATTTTTTGTAATAAGACAATATTATTGATAAAACAAAACATTAAAAAAAATAGCTGTTAAATGCGTTAAACATCAAATAATTCTTGGGTATTAATAAAACTAGTTAACCAATAATCCACAAAAACCCTGTTTTTCGATTTGAATAACTGCACAAAAAAACTTATGAGTTCTTTTAGTCAAGAGAAATTTAATGGTTCTTTAATCATTTTAAATGAGCCAAAAAAGATGTTTTGTTGTGTTAACTACCATAAAAAAGCCAATTAAGACTTAACAATTAAGATTTAACGAATACAAAATGAAACATATTAACATTTACCATATTTGAAGTGAACGTCTTTCAGCAACAGGCTCTCTATAACGCTTCACTGCAAATTATATCAGAAATAAAAAAGTTATAAAATTTAATTTAATTTTTTTTATCAAAAAGTTGTTTTAATTTTTTGTTTCTATTAGTCAAAATTATAATTAGATTTGCAACTTACAGATTAATATACAGAATGCTGTAAAAGCTAATAAAGCTTGAACTTCGATTCCAAATTGATTACTTAAACTACATGCAGTTTTTTCTTCATTGGCTCTACTTATATTTACCATATTCTTTGTACATATATCTAACTATTTTGACATAACTAAATAACATAAATAAACAATAACTTATACAATTTGATATGTTTCCTAACATCGAAATATATAAGTTAAGAGAAATATTTCTCGACAGAACTTTGGTATAAGTATTGCAGTTTATAACTGCAATGTTAATTGATTAATAATTAAATTATATTTTAAGTTTTAAAAAAAAATTATTACCTTTTTTTTATTACTTGTATTTTTGTAGTTTACTCTCTATATTATTTCCTTGTCTTAATACTTTTTTTACCTTATTTGTTTATTTTATTAAGCTGTCACTCCATTGACTAGGTTTTAGCTATATGAGTGACACCAAACATAATTTTGTAAATTATATTTAAATTTGTAATTATTAATTATTATGGTTAAATAAATTGATAAAAAGTAACGATAATAAAGTTTACAAAATAAAATTTAAAAACTCTTAGTTTCAACAGTAGATGTTTAAACTTAGAATTTACACATGTATAACCTAGTTACTAAGGCATACACAATTGTATGTCTGAGAAACTAGGTTATACAAGTTTTAACTCTGGTATCTCTTATAAATTTATAGTGAAAGCATAACACGCAGTCCCGAATGTGAAATTTCTAATACTAATAATAATACTATTAATTAAAATATTATTTAATGGTTCAGTTTCTTTAAATTAAAATTTAAAAACCCATAAATATTGGTGCGACAAGTGACCATTTAAAAAATTTTAAGAAAAAACATAACCTTAAATAACATTATTGCATTAAATACAAATCACATTCGGAAGTAATTCTTCAGTAATAACTTACTGAAATGTTGTTGGGTTCCTATCGGTCCGACTCATAACGGTTAATTTATTTGAGTATCGGTTCAAATGATTGTTCGGTCGTTCTCTACTTAAAAAATTGATAAAATCCAATATACGAAGATAAAGATTCTTGAAATTTAAATACTGTACAATGTACAGTATTTGGAATGTACAGTGTACATTCCAAATATTTATTTTTCACAGAGTACCACATTAAACCAGAAAGCTCACGCCTCCTTTTTTACCAATATCGTTTGTTTGGCCAGATTATATATATATATATATATATATATATATATATATATATATATATATATATATATATATATATTTAATTTTTGTTCTTCATTAGATTTTAAATAAATAAACGTGGGAACTCGTAGAAGACCGTAAGGTCTTGTTGTCGAGAACTACTAACGTAAAGGTGATAATATCTCGTAATATTGATAAAACATAAACAAGATAATTACAAATTTTTTCTTTACAGAAAAGTCCGTTGAAAATATTTAAATCTGTTATATATACTATAAATTCAAAAAAAATAGCATAAAAGCCTTAGTATAGATATATATTTTTATATAGATATATATACCTTAGTTTAGATATATATTTTTAAAAGTTTTTTGATTAATAAAAGGATAAAATTGTAAAAAATAATTCTTTAAGTTTTCGTTTAAATGAGTTTTAGTTACATTGTTCAATAAAAACTTAAGAAAAATTTTTCAAAACTATTTTGCTCCATAAAAATGGTCCGCGAAAAGCAATGCAAAATTTATTATAGTTTGTTTAAAAATATGACTACTTAATAACCTTATTATTGCGTATAATATATTTATCTTTATCTTTTGACAAATACAAATTTTAAAAAGAAACCGGGGAAGAATTGATTTTGCATAAAAACATAAAACATTATAAACATAAAGTTAATATATATAAATACAAGCAGTTATATGGAAATTTCCTAATAACTTATGAGTAATTAAAATATCAAAATCATGTACATAAAAAAAAAAAAAAAAAAAAAAAAAAGTATGAATATAAATATATACATGTATGTGTATGTGTATGTGTATGTGTGTATGTATATATATATATGTATGTATGTATGTGTGTATGTATGTATGTATATATATATATGTATGTGTGTATGTGTATATGTGTATATGTATGTATGTGCATATGTATGTATGTGTATATATACACATACATACATATGCACATACATACATATACACATATACACATACATACATACACATACACATACACATATATGTATGTATATATATACATATATATATGTGTATGTGTATGTGTGTATTTATGTGTATGTGTATGTATGTATGTGTATGTGTATGTATGTATGTGTATATATATATATATATATATATATATATATATATATATATATATATATATATATATATATATATATATATATATATATATATATATATATATATATATATATGTATATATATATATATATATATGCGTATGTGTGTATGTGTATGTGTGTATGTATATATGTATATATATATGTATGTATATATATATGTATATGTGTATATGTATATATATGTGTGTGTATGTATGTGTATATATATATATATATGTATATATGTTATGTTTATGTTATGCTCCTTCCTAAAAACACGACTAATTATATTGAAAAATGTAATAAGTAATGAATAAAATATTTATGAGTATCTCATGAAATTGTTTTAAAAAAAGGGTTCTCGATGACAAGACTTTACACAGTTTTCTGCAAGTTTCCTTTGACTACATAACTAAAGGTTTACTTTTTCCTTTTTTAAGACTTTTTTTATCTTTTCAAAATATAAACTGAAAAACTATTTTAAATTATTTTATTACTTTGTACATCAAATATATCTTAGTATTATTTCATTTATTTTCAAAGCATTTTGACTGTATTTGTAAAAAAAATATATATTGTTAAAACTATTTGTAATAAAAGTATGTATTGTTAAAGCTATGTAGTTATAAAAATATATGGAAAAAATATATATATATTTAGTGGATTCATTTTTCTTAATAGATGGTTTGCATGGGTAAAACGTTCACTGAAATTTACTAAACGTTCTATATGCTTCTGATGACGGTGAAGAGGTTCAAGTTTGCTTTTGTTGGTGCTAGCCCGTACAATATTTGAATAGTTTATATGGCTGTGAATAAAAGAAAAATATAATTGAGTTATTTGAAAAGCTTCTTACCTCATATAAATTTCCTATACTTTTTGAAGTTTTGTTGCATAAATTTTCAATGTGAATTTTCCAAGTAAGGTCATCTCTGAAAATTTAGTAACATTCACTCTGTTTATTTAGACATTTTCATTGAAAAGGGATGGCATTTTGTTAGGAATTAATTTTTTTTAGAAGGTAGATTAGATTTTTTTAGAAAAAAAATCGAATTAGTTTTTTTAATGTTAAGCGATAACTTGTTTGATTTAAGCCAGTAAGAAATCTTGTTAAGTTCCTGGTTTATAAATTGAAACAGTGTAGGGATGTTATTATGAAATAAAAATAGGTTTGTATCATCGACAAACATTATTGCCTTTAACCTGGATACTTCGTGAAGATCGTTGATACATATGAGAAGAAAAAAAGGTCCGAGAATTGATCCTTGCGGAACACCACAGGTAATATTTAGCAAATTCATTGGTGATTGAGCGCCAACGGGTACAAAAAGTTTGCAATTATTTAAATAACTTTTTAACCATTCAAGAACATTGCCAGTAATTCCGGAATGTTTAAGTTTTTTAAAAAGAACTTCATAGTCTATAGTATCCAGTATATAGTATATCAGGGGCTGATCTAGGATTTTTTTTATGCTTGAGTTAGATAACTTTTTGGTAAGTTCTAAGGTCCAATGGTTTTTCCAAAAAATTAATTTCTTTAAGAAAACTCAAATGTGCATCTATATTTAAAGTTTTATCAATAAATCATCTAGTGTTCAAAAGTTATAGCCATTTAAAGTTTAGAGCCCTCTCAAAACGAAGGGGTTGTAAATTAAATTTGGTATAATTTCTAAACAAAAAAATATTTTTCAAAAAAAATTTAAAATCTTACAGATATTATTACCTAATTTAGGATATTAGAATTTATATTTAGAAAAACCAAATTCCCCACATTTGGGCGGGTGATGCCTACCTTTTAGGATCTTTTGTTCCCAGACTTAAATCAGCGCACTTTTTGGCAAATCATTCTTAAATGACTAAAGTATGAAAATAAATAAGTTTGGAGTTTAAAACTTACCTGGAAGTTATAAATCTCAAATTCCAAATATATATATATATATATATATATATATATATATATATATATATATATATATATATATATATATATATATATATATATATATATATATATATATATATATATGTATGTATGTATATATATATATATATATATATATATATATATATATATATATATATATATATATATATGGTTAGAATTCAATAAATACAGCTACGTATAAAAAATTTTTTAAATATATATATATTTTCTTTAATATATAATTATTTCGATATTTCGCTGATCTATTGTTATCAGGGTCATCAGGTATAATAAATAAAATAGTTACAAAAATCGTTATAGTAAAAACAAACCGTTAAAAAGATAACATTAAAAAGCCAAAATATAATACAGAAAAAACTTTTCAAATAACTGACGTCAGCAGGTTTTATTAAAAAATGGCCCCCAGGTTTTGGTTGTTACGTTATCATCGTCATCCCGATTGAGAACCACGTCACCATTTCTCAACTCCTGTTGAACCCTAGCCTTGCTTATTTCGAGTGACTCTTTTATTTTCCGAGTTCGATATTCTGGGGCTACAGATAATATTTTGGGGTGCAACCAATCAAACTTACCATGGCATGTTTTAGAATGCTCAGTTGCACCCGAACTGGACCATTTTTCTTTTAAGCTGTATTTTAGGCGTTCAATACATCTCGATATCACCCTCTTTCTAGTTCCGCCAACTTATATCGAGCCGCACGAACATTTTATCTGGTATACGCCAGGGTCTGTGTTTAGTGGTAGTTTAGTTTTATTGTTGCAGAAAATATTTTTTAAAGAGTTGATGTGAAAATAACCTTGTTTATGTTTTGTTTTCGAAATTCTTTACGAAGTTTCGGACCAACAATTGGTATCCAAAGTAGTTTTATAAAGGGTTGGGTATCTATTGGTTGAAATGTGGCGTTTTTTGAACAGTTTTTTA